CTGTATCGGGCAGCACTGAACTAATGAGAATTTCGAATTGGGCTTTCCTTGCTGAACGTCCTCCCCGGTTTTGTTGGATGCTGCCCAGGGATTATGGGGAAGGATAAAAGGCGGAGAAGGGGGGGGGTGGAGCGGGAATGGAGAGAGAGAAAGAGAGCGAGAGAGTATCTACCAGCAGCTGCCCCTTCTTGTAAGTCATATCTAATCACATCATATCCCCTCCGTGCTACCTGTTGGTTCCGCATGACGGAAAAAAGGTGAAGGGACAACAGCGAATACAGAACACGCATAATGTTTTTTCCCTAGTCGCTTCAGAATGCTAAACGGAGTGCATGGGAAGGCTGGGGAAGAGACTCTCTCTTGGCGGTAACGGTCGACAGAACGCGAAACCTCTATTCGCGCGTAATTTTATCTGAGGGAAGGTGGGCGGGGACCTGACAGCTCCAAAGCAACGTTTCTTTGCCTACCTCTCCCGGGTTGACTTCGCCGGAAATGTTGAAAAGGATTTGGCGCTCCTTGGCGGCCTGGGGCTTAACCTCATCGTCCGCATTGCGCTTGCCTACGCAAGAGCTGAAGAACGGCCGCCTCCCCTGACCTCCAGGAAGGACCAGAGTCGGGACCCAAGCGCATACATTCTCGAAGCGGATGATCACTTGTGCGCGTTTGTCAATCGTCCGAAGAATGTTCGCGTTGGTTTGAACCCGCTTGAGCGCGGAGTTCTGTGGGCCGCGGTTCAGGTCGCTTTGTGGCGTGCTGGTTTCATCGCTGAATGCTATGATAAGGTGGGGTTGGCCTCCGTTTTGTCCAGAGGTTGGCACAGGTCGTGCTGGGGCCGGCGCCTCCACACCGTCGCCCATACCAGTTGGTTCAGAGCCTTCAGCCGTAAACAAGTGACAAGAATCTATGATGAATAGGAAAATGCAGCCAGACTCGTCTACACGACCGTGAAAGGTAAAAGTTACATGACAAAGCTACCTGCCCGGCTCTTTGTTAGACTCGCAAAATGCTGCAGAACGAAAGCCAGTGGATATGGTTCCGGCTCTTACTAAAATTGCAATCCTGCCTTGGCCTCGCTAGATAAGAAGTTGCTGCGTAGATACGCAAAGTGACCTCAACTGGCGAAATTCAACCTACTGCGTGTAGTAATGCATAAAGCCGTCGGACCACGAAGGTTCGGAGCGAGAACACGAGTCCATTGTTCGTCGGGCGGGTTATTGTGTGGCCCCGCAACGCTCTTGGGCGAACCGTCGCCGTACGAATATGAAATGCCCTCGAAACGAACAATTCATACTATTCTTCCCTATAACATGAGCGTAAAGATTCACGTACAGGATGAACATTTGTATAGGATAGAGGTCAAACTTAGTATAGAATTGCGCGTCTACTGCGTGCGCAACGACCGGCTACAGCTCCTGTAAGCTTTCTGACACCAAAACACGAACGCAAATCCAGTTCATCACCAAGTTTTCCCTTTGTCTTGGGAAATTTTAGAATGAAAGCTTAGCCTGAAAAGTCTGGTCGACACCTACCCTACACTTTAATAGTATGATTAAAGTTGGCCGTCGAAGAGAACCTGACGTCGCCAAATCAGCCATACTGCCAAAATATGAGAAAGGCGGCACAGTCGTGTTGCAACCTTGCAGTTTTCAAAGGAAGACCGCTTCGCGAACCTATGCAGGGTCTTGGACCTCTTGACTCTTAACCCGGCATTGATTAATTTCCATCCCAGGCGGCCAGGTAATGAATTTCGGTCAGATCGGTCCATGACCCAATTCAAATCCTTACGAAGGGCCAAACCCCTGGAGGGCGAAGGCAAGGTACGGGCGGTGCGGTGCCTGAGTTCAGGCGAAGGGAAAAAACAATTGCTCGCTGCTTGAATGTCCTGCCGTGGATGACACGTGCTGATATCGTTCACATGCCTCGCATTCTCGCAACCCTCCTATGGCGAAATAGATAGATACATACTGTCCATCTGGCAGGCGGCTGGCAGAGGTTAAGGCCTAACTTCTGCTCCCGGCCGAACCAGGTTCAAATCCGCCTGCCGACTCCTCGGATGTTTGAGGAGTGTGGTGGCCCCCCATCTATTGGACGATGTAGATCGTGATAATATCAACTTGCGAGCTGACCAGGATCTAAGTTGATGCGCCGTTGATCCGCTAGATTTAGTTGGATGCTGGTGGTGAGTTGCTGAACCCAACGAATACATTCTGAAGTCGGATGGGGTGACGGATTAGGGTGCCCCTCTAGCAGGGGAGAGCAGGGACTGCCCCGGGAAAGGGGGCCGCTGGCGATGTTAACCACCCTGTAACAACATACATACTGTCCGTGCAGTCTGCACGGTAGCAGCTCGTACAAACAGTACATGGTAGTACAGGCAGTACACAGGGCCTCGGGTAGCCCCCACAAAATTCACGCCGCCGCCATTAGCACAGATGAAGCATTTTTTAAGCGATAAAGACTGGAGGATATATGGGTGGCAGGTACGTAGGAGGCCAGTTTGCTGACTGTGTACGAGGAATTCTGGTTACCTTACCTATTACAACAGCACACTCATAGCGAATACGGCATTCGACGACGTAGGAACGCAACATTTTTTGTGGCATCTGAGAAGAAATTAGGAGATGACAATGCGGGATGAAAAAGATAGGAGCGGATAGGACTCGAGACCTTGCCTTCACTTTTTCTCTCTCTCTCCCTCTCCGCCAAAAGACAGCCACCTAGACGGCAGACAGCCTCGTTCTTCGGGGCTTTAAGATTAATATATTTTTTTATTGTATTGACACAAAGGACAAAGTACAACGAATGAACGGACAGGTGCAGGTAAATTGAAAAACGTTCAGAAGCCGCAATCAACTGCTAATCGGCGCACCGCTCATAAAAACTCAGAAACCGCGCGATGATGGAATGGATCAGAGGTGGCGACCAAAGCCCGGACTGCGACCCGTGCGAAAGGAATTGAGCCTCAGAAGCACTCTCAACAATTCACCAACAAACAAGACTTCCCATCGACACAGTAAATCAAAAATGTAGATGAACCTACAAGAGTTCAGGAGATTTGGACAGCGGCGGGTTGCGGCTGGCGGCAAAATAACATAAAAACTTTAGCTAGCGATCTGCACAAAAGGACTGCAAAAGAGCCATGCCGCATGCACCTTGAGGGCTAGACAAGGGTAATAGTACAGCGGTCCTGTTGTGTAGCACTATTTTTGAATTGCGCAAAGTTCTCAGGCAAGGCCGTTGAACAGCTATGACACGTCAAAATGATATTATCGCGATGATGCTGATGATGATGCTGATGACGACGACGACGACGACGACGACGACGGTGATGTGGTGGTAGTTGTCGGTGGATGGTGGAAAGCGCGAGTCCAGAGCCATCCACACAACAGAACCGACCCGGCACCGCCATGCCGTACTTAATCCCATTCGCCCCACTTCCCGACGGCCCCATAAACTCCATCTACTACAACCGCCGCCACCGCACCTGCCGTATTCCGTACCTTAACCCCCCAAAACTTGCAACACAACGAGCCTGATGCTGCCCTCCAGACGCACTCCCTCCCCCCCTTCCCTCCCCCTCCCGGGCTGCAGCCCCAACCCCTCCACCGCCTTCGCCTTGCCCCATCCAACCCCTTCAAAACCCAAATTCCCCCCACAGACGCGACTCTCCCCTCCCCCCCCCCGCCTGCGCCCCTCCCCGCAACCTCTCCCCCGCAACTCCCCCTCAACCCCAGCAGGCAAAACACCACACGCCGCGTCCCCTCTCCTGTTCGTTTTCCCCCCTCTCCTGACGGGGTA